AAGAATAAAAAATTTTATTAAAAAAAAAAAAGAATTTGTTGGCCTTGTAGTTGTTGCATCACATGGCTTGTTCATATTCAATGAGTGTTCCACTATAACCCCTAGATCCTTCTCACACTCACTGCCCCCATGCCAGATCTCACCTGTCCTATACAGTAAACTGTGTCTTTGAGTTTTCCTGCCTAGATGCAGGATGTTAATTTGTAACCAGGGAACATCGTCATTTTGGATTTGACTCAATGTTCAAATTTGTTGAGGTTATTTTTAATTGTGATTTTTGTCTTCTAAAGTAATGCCCCTCCCCCCAGCTTGGTGTTATCTGCACATGACATCTCTTCTGTTCCATTCTTTAGGCTATTTATAAAAGGTTGACTAGTGCATAGTGAAAGCCAGAGTCCTGGGGGACTCTTTAATATTTCCCTTCAGAAAACTGCAACTTAGTCCAACTTAGTATTTTCTTATCCTTACATTCACTCTTACCCCTCTACCAAAAGCAGCTATTAAAGACCAAAAGCTCCTTCAGAAAAACAGGTAGGATATATGGCAGAAATCATAGAAACTCCCCTTCTGAATGAGCAGAAATAGTTTCTTCTCATATTAAGGTCCTTGTGGTAGTACAATTCTTGATGCTGGATTTCATGATCAATCTCTTTGTTTCTCATTTGTGGCCTTCTGGGCAAGTGGAGGATTCTTTCTCCCTAACATTTCTATTATAGGATCTGCAATAAGATTGAGTTCTTGGGAGTTTTGGCTTCAGTGAGAGCTAGGATTCTGATAATGAGTTTTAGCACATCTAAATAGGTCAATCATTTTTCAGTATCAGGATTCCATTCACATGGAAGCTTTTATATGTACTTGAAGGTTCCCCACTGCAGAGAATCAGATTGTCTTTGTTGGACATGGAAGGGTTAGTTCGCAAGCTGATAAAGATTTGGGAAACTGTTTAATAAATAGACAGCTGCAAAGCTTTCCATTAGCTGCAAAGCAGTTCACTTCCTCACCACTTCATAGGAAAGCCATTAAGAAAAAACTGGATCTCTGCCTAAGATGTTTCAGGGGTAAAGTATGAAAACTATTTCAGTTGCTGATATTCCTGTAACCCTAAAAGGTGTAAATGAAGTTTCTGCGAAAAGTTGGAAAAGTTACTCTCAGTTTAGGCAGCTGCCAAAGTTTAACGAAGTCTTCAGTGACAACTCCAACATGTCAACACTGGACAGGGACAGGGATCTCTGCCACAATGAACATGTTGAGTTCTGCATGAGAACACTGAACCTTAAGTGTTCCCATGCTGGTGTGATACAGTGTTTAAGGTGTTAGACTGAGATTGGAAAAACTGAAGTTCAGGACCTCATTTATCTATGGAACTCACTGGATGTGTTTGGGCAGTCAAAGTACAGCAGATCAAACTACCTCATAGAGTTCTACTGTGAGGATAAAATGAGTGGAGATCCCCATGGATGAGTTACCAAACAAACTGTAACAATAAATAAATATCTATTCATCATTCATGAAAATAGAATATCATCAGTTACACATTGAGGTATCTCACTGTGTAATTACTTACCAAGTATGGCAGTTTTGTTGTATCCTAAAACAGAAAAAATGGGAAGGGAAATGAGCTAAACTTTTGAGCCTATAATAATGGTCTCTCTCTCTCCCTCCCTCCCTCCCTCCCTCCCTCTCTCTGGAATCGACATATGCTTTCTCAATCTGCTTTATTTAAAATATCATTATCATTTATTACTATTTAAATAGTAGACAGCCAATATGGTGTAGTGAGTAAGGTGGTAGACTATGAGTTTCAGTATGTGAACTAAAGTGAGTGCAGTGCAAAACAAGTGGACCTTGCAACCAAGCTGGACAAATACTAGGAACAATAACTCATTACTGTTAGTAGTAATTATTACTACTTCTACTACTATTGAAGGCTTTGATCTGAAGAGGTTATTTTTTTTCTTTTACTAAACTGATCTCCATTTTAGAAGGTCTAATTTTGGCAAAGCCATTTGGCACAGCAGATAGAAATATGATGCTTAAAATGAGAAACTGGTCTTTGTTCTGTGTGTGTTGTAGAGATTATAAAAATGTTTCCATATAAGCATTGCTGAATTGAAGAAATTGCCATTTTTGTTTGCCTCTTTTCCTTCCCGAGTCTTTTATTATAAGCTGCCATAGTCGATGCAAATCACTTCACATTTGAAAAGAAACCATCTTGCCTATACAAGTGCAGTAAGTCACCTAATACAGTTTTAGCCTTACCTGTATAACCTTTGGAAGTTGTATTTGACATCTGTGTAGTTTCTGATTGAGAGAAAATATTCATAAAATAAAATTCACTGTGAAAAACTCTATAAAAATAATACAATAAACTGATCACCTCAGTGCGCAGAAAATTCTACGATAATTGCACAAGTACAAATCAAGACTAGAAGACGAACTACAACACTACAGAAGTATAAGAATAAAGCTTATTAATCTTTTTGGGCCCAAGTTCATATCTGAATGTTTGAGAAACATTTGTGGGCAATGCTTCCCCCATCCACGCTTCCCAACAGGGTGTGCCCTTATGCCTTCCCAAGTTCCTCAGATGATGTGCAGGGATCTGTTTTTAAAAAGAGTCATTTTGGGTCAGATTCACCAGAAAGATAAACTCAACCCAATGTGCTGGGAGCCTAATGTGAATATTAAGACAAAGCAGACAAAAAGCTCTCTGAACTGAATGGGAAGCTTCAGGAGCTGATACTTTCCTTATAAAAGTTATGTGAAGAGCACTTCAGAATAAATGCTCCCACTTCTCACATTTTTCTCATGATGGTGTACAGAAATAGTCTTTCTTCTTCTTCTTCTTCTTCTTCTTCTTCTTCTTCTTCTTCTTCTTCTTCTTCTT